GGCCGCTATGCCCTGCCACTGTGAACTTCAATACTGCTGCTGTGGCCGCTGTGCCCTGCCACTGTGAACTTCAATACTGCTGCTGTGGCCGCTGTACCCTGCCACTGTGAACTTCAATACTGCTGCTGCGTGTCTGAATGCTGCCACTGCTGTGCTTCTAAGATTCGGGTGGGTCCGACCTCTCTCAAATGCGGTTGCTGTTGTTTTTTTTCAGGCCGCTATTGTTACGGCGAGCTCCAAGCGACTGAGATGATTCTTTTCAGGCCTCTTTTGCAGTTGAAATCAGGCCAAAGCATAGCAATCGTTACTAACTACAAGTTGGGGCCTACTTTTGTTGACTTGGAGGTGCGACTACTGATTTTGTTGGGTTGCTGCCACCAGTAGCGGTTGATTCAGGGTAGCTGTTATAGTTTTGGACTACTATTCTCGTTGAGAGGGAGCCTTTACACTCGCGTCAGGTGCGGCCTACTGAGTGGGCTCTTCCAGCTATATTTGGACTGTTGCTCGTGCCGTGAACGTGAAAGCAGCTGCCTCAGCGATTGCTCCAAGGCTCAACCTGTTGGGTTAAAGGTTGTTGTTGGAAAAGTCAAGTGCTACAACTATCATCAAAGAGTTGAAGGGGGATTGTTACTAGTATTGATGGAGTTGTGAGGTAGTTGCGGCTTCTGGCACTACCAACTTCAAGCTATGTGATTGGCCGCCATTGCGGGGCATTCAAGATCTGAAGGCACCAAGGCCCTCTCATATGAGTTGAGTTGGCCCTTTCTCGTATCTCGAGCGTCTAACCTCTCTTCTTTTATCCTTCTTATTCTAAGTCTAGTCTGTGTTCAGAGAGGAAGGCGGCAGGCGGGATTGCAACCCGTAGGATCGCATCATGGCCTTTATGGGAGGTTGACCCACCGATTGCGGGAGCTCTGTCGGAGCTCAGGCGGGACTCTGGAGGCAGGGAACTCAGAGGTACGCCGACACTATACCACTAGTATCCCAATAAACCCCTATCTATGCAAACCTGACGCTTGGTCTGTCTGACTTTGACTTGTGTATACCTTTTGTTTTTTTTTCCATGACTTTAACTGGATCAGAAGGGGAAACTACTATGCATGTCCAAATCATCTGTCTGTGCAGAAAAGTCACAATCTTTGCATGCGATGATCTTAATTGGGCTGCAGATGAGGTCCTCCGGACTGATCCGGTCGCTTTGCTGTTTGCTTAAGACATTGAAATGGGGCTGG